TCCAATTCTTCTCAGAATTTTTCTGGCCCAATCCTTTCTAGAATTTCTCTGATGCATTAACTGACTGTCTTGACCATATACAATCGCATGCTCTTATGGACATTAGGTAGTACTTTGTTCTCTTTACTATATCACTAAGAAAATTTATAGATCTGCTGCTACTTTTAGCATGCAAAATGCCCATGATTTTGTTTGGTATTGATTAGTACTCTTTCTCTCTTACAGTTTTTTCCCCTTGTCTTAAGTTTATGTCCCAATCCTTTGCACATTGTCAATTTCTCTGACTTTATGTATTATGTAAGTCAACAATACAATTTTTACTAACAAAACCATAAATTTCTCTGGTCCAAAACCATAGAAATTCTCTCCAAACCAGACAGATTAGAGAAATTCTCTCTATTTGCAGAGTTGTATTTTTACGAACAAACCTTGGTTATTGTACATTGATCCAGGAAATTTCTCTGACTTCACAAATTTCTCTGGCTCTATTCACAAAGAATTTCTCTGACTTTGTGTAATATATTTGTCCAGATAAAATTGATCCAGAGAAAATTGGTCTAGAGAAAATTCCTCAATATTTTCATTCTTATGATTTCATCATCAAAATAAATATTTTCATTATTCAATTTCTGCCCACTGTGAAAAAGTTTTTCATTAACCAGTAGACATAAATGCCCACTGTTATATTCCCCAAACCTACTGTGATGATTCCCATCGTACATAAAAGGTCTACATAAATATATGTATGTATATGTGTGGGCTTTTATGCTAGTGAATTGAAAGAGAGAAAAGAGGCATGGTTCTGGATGTGTATATATATAACTGGTTTGGTTGGTCTGAATTTTCTCTGGGTTGTTGGACTTTTTTTGGTCTGAACTGAATTTTCTCTGGGTTGGGTTGGTCTAGAGAAATTCTCTGGTTTGGTTGGTCTGAATTTTCTCTGGGTTGGTCTAGAGAAATTCTCTGGTTAATTTCTCTGAATTTTTATTCCACCAAAATCAATGCAGCATAATAACAGTGTGTATAAAATAAATAATCCTTACAGTAGTCACTCATCTTGATGCTAAAAAAACTAAACTTCACAATCAATATATTCATTTTTGTTTGTCTTCTTCCTTTATTGTGGTTTTATATCTTCCGCATTAACCAATATAGTTATGACAGCAGGATAAGAGTGATGCTTTCATGAGGATAACAAATAGCATTTGTGAGAAAGAGGAGAATGCTCCATACCGAAGAGTGACAATTCTATTAATTTGAAAATGTTGAAGAACAGATTAATCCTCTTCTTGGGAAGGAAAAGCATAGTTGGTAGTGAAATCTGGTTTAAAATGATGGGGAGTTGCTGTAGGTTTTGATGGAAAAGAGGATCCCAAACCCAAGGGGAGTTTGGGTCGCTTGGATGGACGCTTGTAGCGTGGCGACGTTTCAAGAGGTGGTGAGTGCTGTTCGGCCGCCACAAACGGTATCGCCGGGGACACCAACTGGGCATTTTGCAGTCTATGAAACTCCAACATTATTGATCAGAACTCCAACATCCAGACCTTCAATGGTTTCACGAATCCGATTAACCCCTTCGTTCAAATCTCCAGAGAAATCAACAACCATAGTCTTGATATGGGTTTTCCCGAATTTGGCTCCGATTGACTCCGAAACCTCCTTGAGTTCCTCAGGGTTTCGACCAACTAGAATCAAATTCAGACCTTTATGTTCCTGACTCTCTGCCTATGAGAGTGCAGGTGTAATATAAGGGTACGGGGGTGAGAGACCTTAGACTACAAAAGAATATATCGTGGATATAATCCATTACTAAAGTTGGATAGGGACTTTAGACCGATTTTCCCTTTATATAATTACTAAAACGAGACATTTTGAGTTCATTAAAAAAAAAAAACTAAAGTCACTATTTAAAATTTATTAGTGACTCGTTTGTCAAAGTATTCAGTATGTTTAATTTCAGTTTTTTAAATATAGTTTTTTTGAAAATTGGGTTATTTGTTTTTTGTGTTTTTTTATTTTTAATGAATATTTTTAAAATTTTAAACATTTTAAATTTTTTTTAAATACACCTTACTTAGATGTATCTAAAAAGTAAAATATTTATGAAAAAATATTTTTAAAAATTAATTAATACACACAAATATGAAAAATATACTGGTTTTTTGTATTTTTTAATATTTAGTTAATTTTTTTAAAAAAATTTATACAAATTATACTTTTTAAGTATATTTATGTTATGTGTGTTTAAAAAGTTAAAAATATTTAGTAAAAATAAAAAAAACGAAAAATAAGAAAATATATATAATTTTCTAAAAAGTGTTTATTCTAAAAAGTGTTTACAAAAACAAGGAAATAATAATATGGTGATTATAATTCTATAAAACGACGACGTTTTGCCTTGCATTCATCAATTATTGCCTTGGCAATACTACTGAATTGTTACTTTTTGTCGCGTTGACACGACTTATAATAATTCCTCTTCCCAACCATCGTTCCCATCAGGGTCTCTCTGTACCCCTCTCTCTCTCGTTGTAGAGATTACAGTGTTTTTTAGGGTTAGGGTTTCAAAGATTTCAGATTTTGTTTTTCTTCATTTGATATTTCTCAAAAATGGAGCGACACAGAGGAGACCGCTACGGCAACAGCCCAGATTCACACCCTTACAGGAACTCCAGAGGTCCGCCTCGGTCCTCCGACGGTCCCCTCCACCGCCGCAGCCCTAACAATTTCCGTGGCGGCGGAGGCGGCGTTGGAGGCTTCTCCGGCGGCGGAGGCGGTAATCACCACCGTCCTTTCGACAGTCCTCCCCGTTTCCCTCCCGGCGAAGGGGGCGGCGGCGGCGGTGGAGTTGGAGGTGGATTTCGTCCAATGGGTGGTGGCGGGTTTAATGCCAGTCACCAGATTCCTCTCACCGGGCAGAAAAGAGGACATCCCTTCTCCGGCCGAGGAGGGTCTCCAGGTACCCTTCTTCAAATTGCTCAAAAATCAATGCTTTGAGCTACTTCCATACCCTAATTGTGCATTCAATATATATATATTTAATTTTTTTAAACATTATTATATTGGCTCATTGATAACACCGTTGGCTATTGTATTTTTGTTTTTATATATTGGATTACTTAATGCTATCTGTTAATAACAACTTCATAGTAAGCACTGGAAGAAATTAATAATTATGCGAAGAAACACGGTCACATATGTTTTACCATTGAAATAATACGACTTTAGGAACTGTGGAAATTTAATTGGGAGAAAAACAAATCTTTAGGATTTGTGACTTGTAAAGAAACAAAAATTAAACCGAACAGCTTTGTGATAAAAGAGTGACCTTTAACAGAACAACATATGAAGAAAGGATATTGTTAATGTGTGCCTTTTAAGGCAGATGTTAAGTGAGCTTCAAAAGGTTGTACAAATTTTGTTATGCACACTTTCATGCAGAATGTGCAATTTTTTTAAGCTTCTTAACACTTGTCCTAAGGGCAAAAGTTAACGAATTTCATAAAGAAATAATTATGCTATGCACTTCAGAGTTAGGAAGAGTAAAAAGGTGAAGAGAAGTGGGGGACAACAACAATTGAAGCAACTATTTGTTGGAATAATTATTATTGATAACGAGGGAGGGCAAGTGTGTGATTGGTTTTAAAGGCTATATGCTATTTGTTCATAGGAGTTCAGGTGCTGTTTCTGATATATATATTTTTTAAATGTTGGTAAGATGCTGATTCTTGACAGTCCTTTTACCAAAAAAAAAGAAGAAGAAAAAGACACAGAAATATGAATGTTATTGTTGCGATTTCCAGGCATATTTTAATAATTACTATTGTAGTTATTTGTTCTTCAATCAGTGAGTAGAAACTTGATATGAAGAGAAATATGAGTAAAATGAGCTGAGCCTACAGTCTAGCCTTAGGAGGCATACCTTCTCCCCACAACATGGCCATAACCGTAACCAAATAAAGAAAGAAAGTAAACCCATAATCTGGGCATACCACGTCATAGTTCTGGTAATTTTTGCATAGAAGGGCTTGAAATTTTCATGTAATTGCTTTTTTGTTAACTCTATATGTTGGCTGTAGCAGAATTCTTGATCTTTTCCTCTTCTGGGCACAATTTAGGATTTCTCACTGTTACTCTTGAGATATTGATAAATGTTTGTTCCTTTTTCATACAGACAAGCTTTTAGACATGCTGCCTGTATATTCTTCACAAAGATACTAATAATATGTTTTTTTTTTTTTCCCCAGATAATTTTGATGGTGGCAATTTTGCCAAACTTTTCATTGGATCCGTTCCAAGGACAGCCACCGAAGAAGATGTAAGCTGGTTATTTCATCAAGATGTTAACATATAAGAGATATATTAGTTTACTATTAGTCTGTTCAGAAAGTCATTTACGCTTGCTTATATGTTTAAATTATTTTTGCGTTTTACTTTGATTGTCATCTTTACTTCTAACTTTCGTTCACTAAAGAATATGATAACATTTTAACATGCCTTTGGTATGTGCATTCTAAATTTGCTTTGATGTATCTTCTATATTTAGTTTTACTTGTGTTTTTTTCTTTTTTTTGTAATTTTTTTGACCTTTCTCTCTCTTGGCACCTCCAAATAATTAGATGTACTATCTCTTTCATTTTGTGTTAATTGCTAACGTAAAATTAATTGTACTGGGTTTTTTGGACTAGTTTTAACTAACTTGTGGTGCCATAGAATAAACATGAAAGTGTAGTTAATTGCAATTTGCACTGGCTTCTTTCCTATATAGGAGTTAACTGACAAATTTATTTATTTTTTCCTGCCTGAGACTTGCTATTATTGTTGTTATCACTTTTTCATTTGTGGTATTGGTTACATGATATCAGATTCGGCCCTTGTTTGAGGAACATGGCAATGTTTTAGAGGTTGCTTTAATCAAAGACAAGAGAACCGGACAGCAACAAGGTATGTGCAAATAATATTGATTTTGGATTGATTGTGATTTATGCCAATATCTCTTTTCAGGTCCTTTGTGGTGCTGATGGGGGCACCCGTAAGCTTATGATTCATCTGAGTTAGTTTTTCCAACAATTTTCAAGCTTCTTGGTTTTTGGTAGCAACCTTTCTTTAATGTTCGCCCTGTCAACCAAGAGGAAGACAAGAAAAACCTCTAAAAATCAGTTTATGTATAGCAGTTGGGAACTTGGAAGACATAGATCTTGCTCTTCTACTACTGGCTGCAGCCGTGGGGCATTACCCAGCAAGTCAATCGTAAAGAGTGTGTCTATTAAAATAACTGTAGCAATTTTCATGTCAAACTGTTGTACAACGAGTGACACAACAATACTTGGATAGCCAATGAATGGTATTAATTCACATTGTTATGTGGAGAATTTCTATGGTTTCTTCTTATTGTGATAACCTGGGAATTCTTCATTTTGAATAGCTTGGCTTGTCCATATACCAATTTACCCTTGACAAATTGGAATGGATCTGAAGTTGGTTTGAGTATTATAGATGGTTGATAATCAGTGTCAATTAATAGTCAGAGTTCTGGTTTCTTGCCCTTTGAAGGCTAAATTTTGAATTATTTTCTCTTGCTAACAGGGCAAATAGTACTTTATATCTTAATTGAATTCAAGCAAGTGGGTTGACTTTGGTTTGCCTAAATATTATTTGAAGCTAGTATGTCATTGTTTTGTGGACTCGGGATGGTTATTTTTCTGTTTTTAAAATTTTTTGGGGTGTGGCTGTGAGGTGGCTGAGCATGGCAAGACATTTATTGTGTGGTATAATATTGTGGGATGTGGACCAAGTTAAATCCAATTTGGCAAATATGTGATTATGTGGATATTTTCTTATTTGTAATTTCCATATGCAATTTCCTTTGTTTCTTTGTTGGTAATCTGAATTTCGAAGCAACTATCCCATCCTTTATTGAGTGGATGTGAAGCTTATGCACTGTTGTAGTTTGTGTTTATTTAATTGATTGTATGTGGTTGTGGATGCCGGAGCTTACATGTTAGCAGTATTTGGTGGGGTTCTGTGGATTTTGCTATTCATTATTTATTCTAGTTGTGTTTGGTTTCTGCAACACATTCAGTGAAGATGCTATTCTCCAGCATATTATTTATGACTTTTGCAACCTGAGGGCTATTAATGTGAATTTTATGTGTTGGTTGTCTGGGTAGTTTGAATGTTGCAAAATTCCCTTGAAAACAGCAGCATTAGCCTCTCAAAGCTCACACTGTTTGTCTGAGATGATGCTGAATGTTGTTCACAATTGAATTTGGGTTGTGCTGGGAATTTGAGTTGCCAATTAGCCTTGTTTCATAGTCATTTGTGTGGAAATGCTCTCTCTCTCTCTCTCCCCATGTGTGTGTGTGTGTGTGTTTATTTCTTGGTAGTTGGCTTTCAATGAATGGTCTTGTGTGAATTTAGTTGGTTGATCTGCCCAGAAATTTATGCGTTCAGTTTTGAACTGTGCAAGCTTGTTGCACATATTCTTTCAGTCTGGATGTTATTGATCCCATGGTGGCTTTAATTATATGGTGGTGATACCTCTATCTTGATGGAATAATGGTGTATGTTGTTATGGTACAGTGGCAGAATAGATCAAATTGATCTCTATGGTTACTGGATCAATTTCATCTTGTTCCACTTATTCTGTAAGATAACAATGTGTGCTTTAGTATTTTGCTGAGTGGTTGTATGTATGACACTATTATTTGGTCAAAGGTGGAAAAGGCATTTTTAAGTTAGCTAGAATTAACACTGCTTGTGTAATGAACATTGTAATGTCCAACAATGTGGATTATTACAGAAGTTATAAAATGCACAACTTTTAAGGGCATACTCAGCTAAATTCTGAGCCACTACATTGTATGTTCTGTGTCTTTGTTTAATGCTATTGGCATTAGCTTGCAAGGATGGTATTGAAGCTGTTTTGTTAGTATCAACATACAAGTACCCTCATGGTTAAACTAATGGCTTATCAACCTTGTAGTTCATATCATCAGATGCTTGGTGTGTTTGTTATTGTATAAAATGCGAAGTATTGGTTCAGAGAGAATCTTGGTGCGAGTTTTTCCCTCTGAAATGACTCATCAACTTGTTTAATGTTCTATTCCAGGAAGTTAATTCTTGTATTTTTTAACTTTAGTTTGGTATATCATACATATTTGTCCTAATGGCTCATCATTCAAATTGCTTAAGAGTATGGATGACTGGATGCACGTCAACTTTTTATTCTCTTGACGGCGATTGATTTATTTAAGTTCTACGGTCTGGTTGGTGCAGTTATTTTTCAGATTTTGTCAGGTTGTGCTACTATGGTTGTGTTCATTTATAACTAAATAAGTGGAGCGAAAAAATGGGATGACAATTATACAAGTGAATTAGGTGGTGGATACTTTAGCAGCCTGTCTTTTCAATTCTGAATGGGAATTACTCTTGGATGAACACAGTGGTGAATCATGAATGCGTGGGGTTTGATATATTTTTTTGTACTGTGGTCTATATCACATTTACTTTTTCAGCGCGTTATGTATGTCTGTAAATATCATTTGAAATTCCTACTAGCTTCCATTTAGAATGACTAAACTATATCGGAGGATGACAGCCTGTGTCAGCTTCCTCCTCTACATGTTTTGAGTTCTCATTTCTTGAGAATTCTATATGGCATGTATGAACTAATTCCTCCTCTTTAAAGGTGTGATGGATTGTGGAATTTGCTGTGTGATTGCACTTGTTTCTTTTGTGCAATTCATGCACTCCTGTTCGTTTGTTCTAGTACTCGAGAAAATTCACTCTACTCACCCAAATTCTACTCAATTTTGTTTTGATTCTGAGCTTGCTGGGGGGTTTTATACTTGGAGTTTTTAAGCCTATTTAACTTGTTTGTGATAAGATCCAGTTAACAATGCTATTGGGACTCGGTAACATTTTTTTTGGCATGTTGCACTTGTTGTGATGATCTTGGTTGTGTTATTTAAGTTAAAGCTGACAAAGCTTTTATTTAGTGTAAATGATATGCTTGGCCATGCCACTACGCAAGAAGTATAGTGATGCTTCACATAAAAAAAGGCTTAGGCCTCGTTTGGGAACATATTTTTTTAGTAGCTTTTTGGCTAAAATGTAATGTAAAAACAACTAGTATGTTTGGGATGACTTTTTGATTTTTTACGAAAAGATGTGCAAAAAGTAGAGAGAAAAGGAAATTTTTGACTTTTTGGTATGAGTTGTTGGTTTTTTGGTTTTTTTTAGTAACTTTTTGACTAAAAGGGGCACTTGCCAAATGAGGCCTTAATAGATTTAACAAATTGTTGAGTTAGTATGGATTTAGTTTGTTTAGTTCACCAAAAAAGTTTGGGAAAAATGTATTTGACATGATATCACCTGTTAGTGCGCACTGGCACTGCTTGTTGGCTGTAGGTTTGCAGAATAGGAATTGGGTGATTGTGTAAACATGTATTTCTGTGCATAAGTAAATTTATGGGTTCATCAACTCATTTCTCGGTTATATATTGGTCACAAAAAGTACAATTTGAACTTGTCTTATAACCAGCCTCATCTGGCTTTTGTAGCTTCACAGTTGATCCCTCACCAGATGCTTAGTCAGAGCTATTTTCATTGTGCTTTGATAGACTACTCAAAGAGAATCTTTAGGAGTAACGTTTTCCGCTTCAGCTTGCCCCTGGAAGCTCTGTTTTTATACCTTAGTGGACTACTTGTTTGAAGCTTTCAATATCTTGTTCTCAATGACCATATCTCGCACTGATTTGGCAGTTGGTTTCCTCCATAAATTTATGTTTTGTGGATGTGCTAAAAGATGTAGGATGATTATTCAAATGAATTAATAATGGTCCTTTTTTTTTTCCCCTAATGATTTTCCAAATAAAATAAGAAAGTCATATTTTTGGGTTGTGTGGTGGTTGTTATTGGAGTATTGATTTCAATCACCAATTGGGATGTTATGATTTCTAATTTGTATGCCGTGGGCTCTTTCTTTGAATAAAAAGATTTTGAGGTTCAGCACTAAGAAGATATTTTTGTTTTAATCACCACTTTGGATTGTTTTCAGGGTAAGTTTGTATTTTCTCCCACCAGCATTTGGATCGTCATGGTTTTTAGGTTTTTTAGTTGTGAATACTCAATGGTTGTTGTGTTAAAAATTCTGAGAATAGTGAACACTAGCTGATAAATTTGGTTGCAACCCGTGGTTTTGATGTTGTTTATTGATGTCTAGTAGTTTTGGTGTTTCCATATATAAATGTGTATTACACACAAATACTCGAATCATGTACGTGGATTTTAATATTGTTTATGGATGTTTGTAAGTTTTGATTTTTTTGGTTTATTTATTTATGTAGATTTTATTTGATAACAGAAACACAATGCTGGTGTTTACAAATTGTTTTCTTTTAATAATCATGTGTTCTGAACAAGGACATTGACATGGATGTCTATAACTGATATGGATTAAATGTAACAATGGCATTGGTTATGTTGTTTTAAATGTTGTCAACATCCATATATATGTTGTGTTGGATCCTTGAATTCACAATTCCAATCTTTTAATGTGTGTTAGTTTGTCTTCTTTTTGTTGATCTTTATTGTTTAATCATTTTGTCTGTCTTTTTATGCCAGTCAACTGGTACTTGCATTTTAGTCTACCAGCATCTCTGTATCATCACTATTAGATGTAGAAGTCAATTAATGATATCAGGATACAAACTCTTTACTTCTACAGGATGTTGTTTTATAAAATATGCTACTTCTGAAGAAGCTGATAGAGCCATAAGAGGTTTACACAACCAACACACTTTACCTGGAGTGAGTTCTCTTGCTGCCATGCATCTGCGGCCATGTGAGTAGTCTAGCTTTTGCTTAGTAGTTTGATCATTCTTATATTTTTGTTTTTCAGGGAGTGGGTCCTATCCAAGTAAGATATGCTGATGGGGAGAGAGAACGTCTTGGTAATATTCCATGTCTTTTTGTATTTCTTTGCTGTTGAAACCCCAGCATGATACAAATTTGTAATTTGAGAGTGCATTTTACTTATTCTAATTCTTTTTTGTGCCCTGTTAGATGCATTAAGCTTTTTTTATCTAGCATATATATGATGAAGGATGAAATATCATACCTTTGCAACTTTGCTTGTCAATTATTTACTTGGAGTTGCTTTACAGCATGTTCAGCTACTGCATCAGGAATGGTGGGGTCCTTATCTCTCTTCCAGGAATAATTATAATAGCCTTGATGTAAATATTGTTTCATTGAACAACCTTTCAAGAAAGTGGGTGTTTGAAGTGAAGCTGTGAGAAGACACAACACGCTTGTAAGGTCATAACTGAGAGGCTGAGGCTTTGGCTGTGGTCTAGACGATTGGGTTTCTCATAATTTTGCTATTCTTCCATATTATGGAATATGACATTAACCCCCTCTTTTTTTTTCACTTTGAAAACAAGAGGAGACATGGTTAGAAACAGCTAGCTAAGTTTTTGGTGAAAAGTGGTTTCGAAAAGCTTGTTTATGGCGTGCTAAAAATTCAGTGCCCTTCAGTTGAAGAGAATTGATAATTCTGTTATCTTTCTTATGAGTTTAGGGTCAACTTCATTGGAACTTTAAAATTTGAAATTGTGGAGGCAAATGCATTTGTGGCCACTGACTAGAGGGGGTGAATAGACCATACTTTTAATTCTAATACCAATTTAAAAATACAAATACAATAGTCCTATCAACCTGTCACAACCAAGCCCAATCTCTGTACAACAAATCTCAAGTTGTCTTCGGAAATTGCCAAATACTGAAACAAAATTGAACGAAATTTTTTCTAGAATGAGTCCACTGTTGGAGAGGTACATGAACTCAAGATGTTTTTGGGCCCCCTTTTCATTTCTTTTGGGGAAGTTGCATTCTATATTGGTGTATTGTGAAGGTTTTTGAGGAGTTCTATGTTAATGGAATTGAGAAAAGTTATGGTGTTCCCTATCTCTCACTCTTACAACGGTTTATGCGTAGAGTAATACCCAATTTTTGGGCGAGTATTATAGTTTCGTTGCTGTAAGGAATTGGGAATCTAGTGAACTTGTTCTACTCCTAAGTTTAGGAATGGCAACGGGTCGGGGCGGGGCCGGGGATGACACTCCCCGTCCCTGATCCCCGAAGGTTAAAAAATCCCCGTCCCCGGCCCCGATCCCCGACGGGGAATCTACCACCGTTCCCGTCGGGCCGGGTTCAAATTGCCATCCCTAGTTGTACCCACTATATTTGTGTAATTTTTTTTTGTTTATCTTACTGTTAAGTAATTCCCGCTTTTATAAATAACTCTTAGACTTTTATAAATTTACAATTATTTTTTTTACTTCCTAATTTTTTTATTATTTTTCCATCAAAGAAAGGGTAAATTAATCCAAGCTATTTCCAACCAGTTTTAAGTGTGATTATAATTTATTTTAATTTAAGAGTTTATATTGGATAGAAATATGAATTGGGCCTAAGACCGTCTGATGTATGTTGTTACACAGATCTATATATAGATTATTATTTCCAGAACCAAATACGGGGAACAATGGCAAGGAAGACCACTATCACACACACACACACACACATATATATATATATATAGAGGAAAAGAGATGCACAGATCAGGCTTGGCTTGACGGTTCACGGACCACGATCTGTTAGATCGGTTGCTTCACGGTTCAGATCGGTGGCTTCACGTCGGTGGATCTGGATGATGATGATGATAACGAGGAGTGAGAGAATGACAGAGAAATCACTGTGGATCTGGACGATGATGATGATGATAACGAGAAATGAGAGAATGAGAGAGAAATCAAAGTGAGTGAGTGAGGGAGAGGGAAAGTAAGAGGGAGAGGGAGAGGGACACAGAGAGTGAGAGGGAGGGAGATGAGAGATGCTGTGGTGAGTGAGAGGGAGAGGGACACAGAGAATGAGAGGGAGGGAGATGAGAGACGTGGTGGTGAGTGTGAGTGTGAGTGTGAGAGGGTTTGGTTTATATATATATATATATAGGGGTAAAATGGTAAATTCATTTCGGGGACCAGCGGGGACGGGGACGGGGACGGGCCGGGTACGGGGCTGGGACACATATCCCCGTCCCCGGCCCGAAACTGATCGGGGATTGAATTTTAAATACCATCCCCGTCCCGTTGAGGATATTTTTCGGGAAAAAACCGCTCAAATTGGGATCGGGGGGTCGGGTCCCCGTCGGGCCCTACCTAAGTTAATGGGTCTTTGGGTTTTCATGTAGATCTTTAGATTTGTTTTAGTTGTTCATAATTGCAAGGCCTCACTCTTCCTTGGTACTTGGAATGGTAAGCTTGAGTTGATCTTGTTTCTTCCCCTACCTTTATTTGGAGTAAATATTAGTGGGAAGGTTTTTCCATTTTCAAAATTTCAGTGGCATGACGAAAACCTTGGTGGTGAAGTTTGGTGCTCCCATAGACTTGCTGATTTATTTTCCTCATTCTTTTTATGTGCTTTTGGTGGTTTATTGAATGCAATTAGTTGGCAAAGCATTGCCCCACCCTTGCTTAGGTGAAGATGACCCTGACCCTGAGCTGCCTTCTTTAAAGTTATCAAATTTGTTTTGGTTGGGTTGTTATGGTCCTTCGGAAAATATTGGAATTGGCAATTTGAAAAATGATAGTGGTTGGAAATTGCTTAGTTTCAAGCCAAACACACTTGGGACTTGGAATAATTATGCTTTACCCTTTTTAGGTCTTGTTATGTGCTTATGCTTACACCATTACTTTGTGCAGTGGTGATGATTCGGCTATCAAATGTGCGAGTTTAAGTTTGAGGGTTATATGCCTGGTCTTACCCTATCCACCCCTCCCTTCATCCTCATGTGGCTAGACCTGTATAGTGGGCCTTTTTGAATAGTAGTTTTAGTGGGGTTGGATGGGTGTTGATCATTAACAATGATCACTGTTGGGCTTCTGTGGTTCTTTTGCCAAGCATAACAAATGTAGGTTTAAGTAATTTATCGAAGCAGATAAAGAAACCACTATGATGAGGAGAAAAAGAAAAAATACAGTTCATTGATTGGTATTTATGACAGGAGGTTTTCATTTTTCCAATTGTAGTCCGAACTATGTATGCTCTTGTGGCATATGATTTATTGGTTGTATGTTGTGCACTTGTCTTTCTGTTTGATGCACAAGTGAATTTTCCATTCCTGACCTTTTTCTTCATGTTAGGTGCAGTTGAGTACAAGTTGTTTGTCGGATCACTGAACAAACAAGCTACAGAAAAGGAAGTTGAGGAAGTATGTTCCACATGTAGTTTGTTTTTTCCCCCCTTGAAGTTTTCTACCCTCCCTGGTGGGCCTAAAAATGAAAAAAAACTGGACCTTTTTTCTTCATATCCTTTTTCAATATATTTTGCCTAAAGCAATAAAAGTTGAATACTGACAACTGATTCTTCCTTTGTCAGATTTTTTCGCCATATGGTCGAGTTGAAGATGTTTATCTCATGCGTGATGAAATGAAGCAGAGCCGTGGTTTGTGTTTTGCTTTTATAATTTCATTGTGTAGTTGTTTCAATCTTATGATTAACCTTCCTATCATTTGAATCATGGAAGTGGAAGCAAAACCTACATCCTGTCCCTGCTTCTTACATCAGAAAAAATGCAATCACAATCACAGATACTTTGTATGTCATCATATGGCACAAATGAATTTAAATTCTGATTTACTTCAAAGAGAGAAGAAAATAAGAATCAATAATTGGATGATTATGTCCTCTATTCAATTTTAGTTTAGAAAAATTGGGTCAACTTTTATAAAAAGAAAAAAGAAAAAGGAAAAAAGAAATTGGGTCGTCTACATAAAAGGCGCTGATCCAAGTATTTCTTTCCAATCCTTGTGAAATTGTATAATGCAGGTAATGTTTAATTTTCCATCGATTTTTAATCTAAATGTCCAACTGTTTTGAAGGGTGTGGATTTGTTAAATTTTCAAGCAGAGAAATGGCGATGGCAGCTATTAATGGACTTAGTGGAATATATACTATGAAAGTAAGCTTACTTCGTTGTTTTGATTGTGTTATGTTCTCTGTTTCTGCTAGTATCCATTTACCTTTATCTCCTTTTACATCTTAGGGGTGTGATCAACCATTAACTGTTCGATTTGCTGATCCTAAGAGGCCTAGAGCTGGAGAGTCGAGGTATTTCCTTATACTTCATCCTTACCATATCCTTTTCTGTTTAAGTTACTCTTTATCACAATTAGAGTTTGAGTAGCTAATATTATCAAGATGTTTTATTGTTTCTGACAAGAGGGTGTGAGAGTCCTTTGGCTTGTGTAGTAATTAATCAAGTTAACTTTTGAAGGTATATGCATAGAAATGCATTTTAATATTTTTCCCGTAATAATTATTTTGTGACCTTTTTGTCATGCTCATCAAGCTAGAAATTACTTATTTCCTATGATAAGCATATATATGTTTGTAGATAAAAATGAATATTTTCATATATATGTGAATAAACGTTTACTTGTTGCCATGCCTCACTTTGTATGTGTCTTAATCTTTTGAAAATTGCTGGGTTTGTCCATGTTGTATCGGTAGTCCAAGTCGTTATCCTTGCTTCTTAGTATGCAATATGAACTTAATTTATTTTTCTTTTGCAGGGGTGGCCCTGCATTTGGGGGCCCAGGTTTTGGTCCTCGATTCCAACCACCAGGACTTAGGTAATTCATTTACTAATTCAAAGGGGAATTTCATTTCTCTCTTATTATTTTCTTCCACTTGTCAAGAACTTTATTATTATCTTCCTCTTTCGATTTTGTTCCCTTTGAACTGTTCTTTTTATTTTTCTCAAGAACTTCTGTTATTGTTACTCCTGCAGACCAACAACAAATCTTGGTGAGCCTATGCATGGTCGAATACCACCTAATGCTTGGCATCCAATGAGTCCGCAGAATATGGGGCCATCTTTGAATGCTGGCATGCAAGGTTTTGGGAGTCAGTTGCTTCCCCGATCTGGGGATTTGGCAATGCCTTCAACTCTGGTATGGAAAAATTTATCATTCTTTAATTAAAATTTTTTATTCTGTAGTGTTTTTTGAAGGAAAAAAATATTTTTTTTGTTACCATGTTACCATGTCCTATATGATTAAGGTTTTTTAGGTAATAAACAAATTTATATATGCTATAGAATAAGCCTTCCTAATGTAACTAGACCATGTTTGCTTCGGCATCCAGAACATGATACTGTATAATCACCACTCTATTTCACTGAAACATATTCATTGGTGGGATCCAACTTTTAACATCCTTCTCCTTTCCCAAGATAAAATTTATATTTTGAAAAGATTTGATTGTTACTATTAGGGTGGGGGGCCATATTTTGAGTCAATTCTTATGGCTGTGGTAGCTACGGGCCTCCTAGGGCTTGCTCCCTTGTCTTTTTTCTTTCTGTGATTGTTGTTCATTGTGTCATGTCTTCTTTAAAGATGCTCTTCATAATGAAATAACTTTTTCTAAAACCAGTAGCCAAGAATTCTACTCAAGAGGTATAGTTTTTTCTTTTGGTAGCTATGTAGATGTATGTTTCCATGTTTGGTCAGTCCATATAAAGGCTGCACTTATGCTTTTTCATTTTCTTCTTATTTTGTTCACCTGAGCGTAAGGATTTGGAAACTTATTATGCTTGGGAATATTTTAGGGTGGTCCTCTTGGTGTACATGGTGGCTCTTCAGATGGTGTCTTTCCTGGACTTGCATCTGCATCACAGCAGGTATATGCACATTGATTTCTGAATATCTTCATGTGGTTACCCGGTTCTCTTGGGATAAATCAGTATCCATTTTCTCCCTGAATTGTTTTCCAGAATTTTAACCAGTCCTTGGCACAAGTCCCGTCAATTGGGCAGCAGCAAATATCACCGCTACAGAAGCCACTTCAATCGCCACAAGACTTGCCATCTTCCCTGCAGCTACACCCTCAGACTCCATCATCTTACTCGCAGACGCAGCCTTCACAAGCATCACTCCAACAACTTGGTCAGCTGCAAATGCCTCAGTCTGGTGGTCAAAACCCCTTCAGTCAGTCGTTGCCATCACAACAGTTGTTTGGTTTGGGTGGGCAGTTAAATGTTTCTCAGCCTCAGGTCCAGCAGAATGCCTCATCTGCGCAACAAGTCCCTATGAATTTTAACCTACAACAACATCACCTGTCTGCCATGGCAAATCAACAGCAACTGCCTGCTGTTCAGCAGCAATTGCTTCAGCCACTCCAACAATCACCTTCTCAGTTTGCTCAGATGCTATCTCAACAGAAACAAACTCTACAGGCAAGCTTTCAATCATCTCAGCAGGCATTCTCTCAGCTTCAACAACAATTTCAGCAGATGCAACCTTCAAATCAAACTCTAATGCAACAGCAAAGTTCTCAGGCTACCAAACAGCAGGTATTATATGTCTAGAGTGCTAGGGAAATTTCAGGTTATTTGTTGCAGTTCTAAGCTCATATTTTATTGTTTATAAAAAAAAGAAAAGAAAAAAGCTTCTTGTGAATTGTTGTTAAACAATAGTACACTCTTTGAAGGTTTTTGTAGACATTTGATTACTTTTTTACCGTGGACTTGTTTAATATTATTTATATGCATTATACTGTTGTTTTAGTTAAATGTGATTTTTTTAAAAATATTCTTTGATGACCTTTAGGAACTTTGAAGTTACATACTAAGAATATTATCTTTTGCTGCAGGCTCCATGGGCGGGGATGGTACCACAGACAGTTGCCAGCACCCCTGCTATCACTTCAGCAGCAGATGTGCCGCCTGCCACATCTGCTGCCTCAGTTCTTTCTGCAGTATCCCAGGCAGTGGCTCCTGTAAAATGTAATTGGACGGAACACACCTCCCCTGATGGATACAAGTACTATTATAATAGTTCAACTGGTCAAAGCACAGTAAGGAATTTATAATCTTTAAACTTTTGCTTTTTCATTATTTAAAAAAAATAAAAATAAATTAATTTTCGTTTTATTGGGAGTTTTTTTCTCTCTGAAATATGTCACAAATGCTTGCTGTCATGTACGTGTAGTGGGAGAAACCAGAGGAGTTGACGTTGTTTGAACAGCAGCAGCAGCAGCAGCCGCAGCCGCAGCCGCAGCCGCAGACAAAACCATCAGTTCAACAGCCTCAAACTCAGTCTCACCCTCAAAGTCGGTCTACGCAGCAAGTTCCTCAGACACAGCAAGCTCAACTTCAAGCACAACTCCGCCACCCACAGCAGCTGCAACAAAGTTCTTTTCCATCATCGGTGAGTGTTTGTGGTGTATAATGTATTCTCTAACAAGGTTTTGAGTTGTTTCGTAGCTTATTTAATTTAATGATATTGCAGTATCAGGCTTCAGGAGTTACAGGCCACCAAAATGCGCAGGTATATTTTAGCTTGGTTACAAGATGATTTATTACTCTTGGATTTTGTTGTTGTTTTTTGTTTTTTGTTTTTTGTTTTTGGTGTGGTAATTAATAGAACTGTGGATGAGATTGATGAAATTTAAATACCGTGTACAATGCAACATATCCATTTTTTGTTGTTGGCTATTCAAAGCCATATCTTTAGTTAAGTTCAAGGGAATTATTGCACTTACTCATTACCTTAAGTCATGTGCTTCTAGGCCTGCCTCTTGTCCTTTTGGCACGTTCTATCTGAATCAAATCACTATGTTGCACGTGGCCAAACCACTTCAATTGAATTTCTCAAAATTTTCAATTTGTGCTACTTCTAGCTTCTCATGAATGTATTTGTATTTGTTCACTATTCTATCTTGCATGTGCACACCGCTCCACCTTACTATTTTTATTTTTGGTGTCACACATTTTTAGCTTGCTGTTCTATAGAGCTTTCCTTTCTACTTAATGAGGAATTCTACGTTCACGCAACGTCCCTGGAGCACTTTTCATTTCATCCTTCATGTTCCAAGTCTATGAGCAACATTATTCTCAAACTTCCCTTTCCTTATAGATAACTGATCCTAGTTATTAGAAATAGTTATTCTAGTGGTGCTTTTATCCTTTCATGTTTCAATGTTTATATGAGCAACGATCCGTTGTCGCTTTCCTCCTTTTTTGGTATCATGTGTTTGAATTGCGATTTGTCTCTCTGTGTATTGTCTGATGAAATTGTTGCTCTTTCTCTCTCTCTGATAAATCTGTTTTCTCTTGTTTTCTTTGTGGAGTAGCCAGAGACAAACCTAAAATTTAACTTACCAAAATAAATAAAGAGACGAGCAAAAAATCTAATATTGGAGTCTATATTTGTTAGCGAGAGAGAGCCAGAGAGCAGACACCAATGTGTCCCTGACCATATCTGACACTTGTTGGACACACACTTAAATGTGTCATTATTTGTTTATTTATTTATTTTTTAAATAACAGACATACTTTAGATGCACATGGGACACGCCTGTTACCAGCACTGGTGTGAGAACATACATACAAATCCAAAGGTTGGCCTTGACATAATAAGTTTAAAGGAAATGCAATAGAGGCAAAGATCAAAGTGAAAAAGGAGTATGAACATATATACATAATAATCCCTCCTATTACAACTACAAATTTGCTTGTGAATGCTTCAGGTTTGTGAAAGCGAGACATTTTGGCTTTCTATTTGTACTTCTTTCCCACTACATATATATTCTTTGATAAACCACTTCTTTTCCAATATATAAAGTGTTAATGTAGAAATTTGAATTATTTATTATATAAAGGAATAGATTGTTTCTTCTACTTCTGCATATATTAGTATGCGTAATTTATTTATTGTGGTGTGCTAGCCATCTGTGTACTAATTTTTGTGCAATTGCGGGGTTGGTGCATCCATATTGTGTCCTGAGTTCATATCCGCTGTGCTGAGTTCATTAGATTGCAAAAGAATTGTATGATATACCTAAAGGGGGCTGTATGTAAGAAGAATATGCCAGATTTCAAATGCCCTTGTAAAACTACCCAATGGGCTAATGCACTGCTTTTGTCTTTCAATGTTGACTTTTTCTTCCTCCCTCACTTGTTCCTGGTCCTTTGGTATTTCAGGAACTTAATTATACCCATTTACAGGCTGCAGCTGGTTCTGCGACTGATCCGGCACGCTTCCAACAAGTATGAGATGTTTACTTCTTGATGTAATCAGATTTCTTTGTTTGACCACTGTCTCATTTGCATTGTGTGCCTGTGCTGCCAGGGGATTCAGGCAGCTCAGGATTGGATGTGGAAGAATAAGCCCTCAGGTTCGCACCAGTTTCTGTTGCTTTGAATTTCATGACATGCTTGTATATGAACTAGCTAACATCTGTTGAAATTTGGGGCCTGGAGGGGTGAAAAACCTAAAGCTAAAAGCCGCATGGTTAGCTGACTTGGGTTAGATTCAGAAACCAAACACTTCAGAATTTTGTCTCTTCTGGCTCACCAAACACACCTAGTTTTGTGGATGATTGTGTACATCCATGGGGACTAGTCTGGAATTGAATGGGACCCCCCCTCCCCCAGGGGGAAAGGCTCTAGGGTCCCAGCCTGCCCCGATTCATAAGAAAAATTGTTCACTGATATCATAACTTATCAGAAGATGAGAATCAGAGAACTTTATGCATATATATCTGTGATTGTATAATTTGACTACGAAACTTAAAAAAATTCCCCATTAGGGGCAGGTTGGGTACCTGATTTTTCATGTTAATTTGCAATTCCTACACCCCCCTACCCCGAAATAAATAAATAAATAGAAGAAACCCAATTAATATATATATATATATATTAAATTTCTCAATAAAAAATTATATCACTATGTAAAATAACTTCTCTAGCAAGACAGAGAAAGAGAGAAATGGATTGAATTACGTGGTAAAGTGATTATACACGTGCAAATTGGAAACTTTGATGTTCTTTCTTTTACACACTATTGATCTTTGTTTTTTTTGTTGCTTTGTCAATCCATTTATATCAGGAACGTGATGTGGAATGGTGAAAAGTTTCAGGTGACATTGTCAAAAAGTCTCTGCTTGGATAATGCCACACAAAGCTCAAACTGGAAGCCCGATTCTGGTACCGGCGAGGCAGAGTGCAGGCAGGCATGACTGCTCTGGAAAAAAAAATGCGGAATGTGTTGTGTAACAGAAAATTTGTTTTAGGTTTTGCAGTCTCACTTATTGGCTCAATTAACTAAAGCTTGTGAACAATGTCTTATCATGTCGTTTAATAATTTATGCTGTCGGTAGATGTTAAATATGAACAGGTACATGGTGGTAGTGTATGAAGTTTTCCAGTGAAACTGTGTTCTTTGCAGTGATTCAGTTATGGTTTGGAATCATGGTTCAACGCCAAAATAACTTGATTCATTGTCTAACTTGTCAATCACAAAATTCAGCGAATTCTTCAGCTAATAAATGAACAACAATGCAAACTTTATTGTCCAAAATATCAGGAAGATGGAGTGATATGATTCACTAGTATTAGGTATATGTTAAGTATAATATATTACCAAAAATATCCAACATGTATATGTAAATTGAAACCATTAGCTTAAAATAGCGAACAAAATTTGAAGAAATAGTACTAAACTATTGTTTGGAAAGTGTCAGATTAATATACTATTCGATTTTTTATGAAAAAATGTGAAATTTGGGTTGAGTTTGAAGTGATGTTATAGAGAAGAATAAAGATTGGGACCCCCATTCCCCTCATCCCCTTTGACCCTCTTTCTTTTTTGATTGGTCACTTTTTCTTTTTCTTTTTCTTTTTTTCTTCTCCTCTAATCACCACTCGCCACGTGTGTGTGGGGGTGGTGGAGGTTGAAGTTTGAGGGGGTTTAAATTACTGTTGTATAGAGAATTGATATGACTCAAATAAAATGATTGTGAGTGTGTTAAAATAGCATGCCAAACAAGCAGTATACTAGCCTTTCAAAATTCAAATTGAACCACAAGTTTTGGTTTGAGAACTAGGGCTAAACCAGCAATACAAGGGTTAATTATAACAAATCCAAAATGTAATTTGCTCAACAAAAGCGAAAGCCATCAATTAAAAAAAAAAAAATGTTTAAAAAGAGGGGTGATTGATGATGGAGCTATTTTTATTGATGCATTAGGTGGGGGGTGTATAGCCTTTGTCATTGTTTGGGCAACATGTGGTTTGAATTTCTATTACGATTAAACATTAATGTTCACACACACATACACACACACACACAAAAGAATTTGAATTTTCAATAGCCAGAATTGAACTCTGCTTGTGTGTGCTTCACTTCAACATAAAGTCATGGTGGCGGTGTGCACATGTTAAATCATCAACTACATTTTGAAACATTTCTATACATGTGACCTTTGATTATGAACCATACATTATCATTATTATTGCTTTGAAATATTGGAATTACTATTTGAGGAAAAGAGACAACTTGAGATTTTGGTTGAGTCCGAATTCTGTCCAGTTCGGTGAATGGATTGGATTGACAAGTCAGGCCATGTTAGCTCACCACGTGTAAGTCAATATGTCTAGCCAAGCCATGCCATGCCAGATTGGAATTTTGGTTATGTCCGAATTCTTTGTAGTCTGGCAAATAGATTAGACAAGCTCTGTCACCTTACTTATTATTTTAATAATTAATTCTGCTCCATCTTTTAAATGTAGTAGATCATCTATTAAAACAATTAAAATATTAATTCAATAATTATAATCACTTGATTTCATCATATTTGTTTTGCAATTATTTTTTTAAAAAAAATTATATTTGTCGTACATTTTAAAAAATAAAAATAATAACAAATTCATGTGGCTATGATTTTGTTTTTACGTGCTTGATCAACACATATGAATCTAAAATATGAATGAACCTGTCATTAAAAACAAGTTATATGATGTAACCTGACAAGCATGACAAGCACCCATCCACTAGACCAGAGAGAAGCCAATTTCTTTGTTTTTTTAATATTTTATTTTATGAGACAATTCAAGTATCTACTTTTGACTAAAATGTATACAAAGGGTCACCACAATTAGAAGCTAGCTTTTTTGTAATCTTATCCTTGACCCAACAAAAAGGCATAAAATTTAAATTTCAAATTGAAGGTAATTGTATTCCAGCTATAATGACTATTGTAATCAATTATTATATCTCAAGAGAATATATATATATATATATTGATATTAAAATATTTGAATACATATATTGTCATCCTTTTTTAGCTATCCACGATGGAAATGATATACAAATTTATTTTTTAAATTCAATAATGTGTAAAATAAATGATTAGCTAATTATTACAGAAGATGTGACAGAGAAAATTGTCTTAAATATTCTAATTGATTATCACGTCATTAGAATAACAATGCCAAACCATGATTATAAGAGAATACACAAACACAATAATGTATTTCAATTTTTCCACAAATATTAGTTGTCTTGCTATACTTCTACAGTTGTCCTTCTACATTAATAAAATTCTTAATTTGCTTATAAAAAAAAAAATATAATGATAACATATGAGAAAAATTAGGTATACAGATATTTGTTAATTTTTGTATGTATCTCATGTGAGTATTTTCAGTATTCTTCTATGTTTTAAATTTTGTGTATCTAGAAATGTTGTAATAGAGTACGGTTATCAAAGCCACATCTTAAAAATGTTAATAATACTACATATTCAAAAAAAAATTATTTTGCGTTTCGCTAAATCTTGACATTTATAAGATCGTGTTTGGATTAAGAATTTAAGAGAATTTGTAGAGCATAAAGAAAAGAGAAGAGAAAAATAAAAAAAACAAAAAAAAAACTTATATATATATATATTTCATTGACATTTTTTTCTCGAAATTCTTACTCAAATTCTAAATCCAAAAACAACCTAAATATTTTTTCGGAATACCTAAAATTTATAAAGTCGGTATCCTTCAATCCAAACACATGGAATTTGAAGACAGCAATCAATATTGGGTGTAGAATACAAAATTCTTTGAGAGCAATACAAAAATTCTAAGTTGTTGACGGCTGGAAATTAAAGCTTAAGATGCAAGAATAATTCTTTTGAGTTAGAACAAACATGAGGGATTTTATACCCATCTCTTTGTTCTTCTCAGTATTGCTTAAAGGATTGGACACTCTTAATCTATGTTCAAAAAAAGAATATGCACCTCTTGCCTTTGATATTTGTTTGCTACCAATCTGTGTTCACACTATTTATTCATTATTAAAAAAAAAAAAAAAAAAAAATCTATGTTCATACTATCTAGAGAGAAGGGTAACCAACATACCTCTTCGGGCCAAACTTTTTTCCATAAGCGGGTCAAAAATACATACAAAATTTTTGATTATTTGGTAAATGGTGAAATTCAAATCACGAGATGAAAATTTAATAGAAATGCTATATGTATACTTGGAAAAATATCTAGAAAAGTTCTTAGAATTGAAATCTACAGTATAGATTTAAAAATGTACAATATTTAGAATAAGAATAATGCTATATACACTAATTGGTAATCTTTGATATACAATATAAATTTTGGCAATATTTGTTTTTTATTTTATTTTATTTTATTTAAATTAGGATATCTTGAAAACATGAGGAAGAACTTCTGGTGAAACGTTTTGACAAAATTTTTACAAATAGATATCATAATAAGAAGTAGAATACACAAGATGAGGAAGTAGCATTTCTAAAAAAAATACAATATCTAGTGATCTTGATACACCAATTTGTTTCTATAACACTACTCACCAATTTGTTTCTATAACACTACTCATCAATTTGTTTAATACAATATTGTGCACAAAGAGATCAAGCATAAGAATTACACATTCTAAAAAATATCCTTCACTAAAGGGTATAATTATTCCAAGGTTTTAAATAGCGGTGGTATAGCTGGAGGGACAAATTGTTAATCGAGTGATCTTGTACGGGGAATTTGGTGAAGTGGCCATAAATTTTTAAGAAAAATTTCAACTGCAAAAAAAAAAAAAAAACTTCATAGTAACCTAATGAATCGTATCGGCTATAAAATGAGTTGTGAATTAATTCTGTACATGTACGTATTGCAGACTACACCCATGATTTTTATTCTCACCATAAAATGAGTTGTGAATTAATATTATGTACATGTATGTATTGCCGACTACACCCATGATTTTTTTTCTCACACATATTGGGTTGTCTCGTTGTCCATATCCATTGGTATTTAAAATTATCACTTAAAATTGTTCATATTGTTCAAATCCAGAGAATAACTGTATAAATTAATTCTTCATAAAAAGTACCTAAACAATTGAACATTTCTTCATTACCCACCACTTTTATGGAATAATAAACACAGAATCTACTGTATATATTAAATTATTAAACACTAATTTAATAAACACACAATCTATTATTTGTCATATTAAATTATCAACCATTAACTTATCTACAGGCTTAACTCATTTATTATTTATATCTCAATACACCAACAAATTATATATGCATGCTTGTACCTCTAGGTGACTATAGTAAACAATCATGGCTATTTTGTATGTTCTCCCAAGTATGGGATAAAGCAAGAGATTGGGCTTTGATCTAAAAAGCGCTCTCTCTCTCTCTCTCTCTCTCTCTCCCCACATAGTGTTTTTGGAGTAGAAATGATGCATGGCCATAAGTAGCATAGCATTGAATTAGAAAATCAACATTCGAAGCAAAAACAGTGTCGTATGGACAAGGACCATCCAACTCTTAATAGGGTATGGAGAAGGCATACACACGTCATGAGAAATTCTTAAAGCAACCATATCTCTCTCTACCCCTAAAATCTCTTCCCCATCCTTCTATTCCATTAATCAAGAAAGAACCACTTACTCCTCTCTCTCTCTCTCTCTCTTCTACTTCCCTTCCTTCCTTTGCCAATATCAATATGTATGTATCTATGTACAATGTACATACACCACAATGCTCTCTATTCAATGACTCAAAGCTCAACGAGGACATAGATTCAATGCAATGGAACTTCCAATAAAGCTACTACTATACATTGGCCTCCACTTTTGGCTTCCGGCGCTCAAAAGTGTTAATGGACTTCATGAGTACAATGGAGAGAGAGAGAGAGAGAGAGAGAGAGCATAGAAAAGTGGAGAATACATGGTTGGAAAATTTAGAAAATAGTAAGAAAGTAGTTTGAAAAGTTGACGGCAAATGAACTGTATAACAGCTTAAATCAGTTACGTGAAAAATTGAAAAATAGGTATTTTGACTTTTGAATTTTGCCTTTTGTCTTTTGATTTATTAATTTTTAACTTAAAATAAATTACATTAAAAATGTCTTACATAGTTCAGACTTAATATCATATGAGCCACATCTATTATGAATCATTTCAAATATCTACTGATCTGTATTAAAAATTTAAATTTTAAATGTATATCTACATTCACCTACATATCAACATATACAATTCGATATCAACTAAGTCACAACAAATATTGATCCGTATTCCAATGCAATGCAGTTATGTATGTTTGAATACGAAACCTTGTTTAGACCTGATTGGCTAAACACTTCATTTTCTGACAAGTTTTTCATGATAAACTATTATTGCTCCACATCTCAACGTATCAAACATAATCATTCCACTTTTAGGGTTTCCTCACCTTCTTTCAATGCAATGAGTACATCATCAAGTTCCCAAGTTCAATCTTGTCTACATTTCCTCTAATCAAGTCCTGAGGTTCTCATAACACACAAAACTGAAAAAAAAGGTGCTACCAACTTACTAAGTGGAGAATCACAAACCCTAAATATTCTTTTTTTGGTGTATTGAAGGGGAAGGGAGGAGTCCAACCATGATCTCCTTAGTGAGGTAGCGAGTTCTGGCCCCTAACCCCGGTAGATTTAACCCTAATTATTCTGAGTAATACATGTCCCTAGACAATATCAATGTAGTTGGAAGTCGGAACCCAACCAAATGAGAACTAAAAGAAAGAAGAAGAATAAGAATGAGAATTGATACAACTAAGAATATAAAGAGAGAATATATACAAAAGCTCAAAATCTCCATAATTATAAAAGATCTCTAAGTACAAAGAATAACACAAAGAAAGAACAAATTAAGAAATAAAACTAGCTAGCTAGTCCTCCATAGCTAAAGGCCTGAGTTTTACAATGATGTTCAAAGAGGTGTCTATATGATGGTAAATTAGGGTTCTTATCTAAAGATAACCCAACAAACCTCAAGATGATCAGTCAGTAAGATCAGAATTACATACCGTGGATACCGATAATAACAGGTAAACTCCTTCTACTCTTCTTTTGGCTCCTTTCTCACCTGTGAAGGTAAGATGTCCTGAAGAAGTCCATGATCTCTAAGCAGAGAAGATGGAGAGGGGCAAAACCGTCTTTCTTGAAGAAAACTTGGAAATGAGGAATTAGTAGTAGTAGTAGTGCTAAAGTTCAAAGTAGGTGTTGGGTTGTGAAAATAGGGTTGTTGGTGGTGGTGATGTTGATAGTGATGAGGTTGTGGAATAACAAAAGAGGAACCACCACCGCCACCGCAACTACCACCAAAAATGGCACTTTCTGGCATGATTCCGATACTACCACGTGGCGTCACCGGGCACGGATGGGTGTGTGTGCCCTCATAAGTTGTGACGACGATTGATGGATCGTCAGATGACCTCTCCACTCGCTTCTTCACCCCACATGCTGCAGTAGTGCATCGGTAGTAGCTCCTGTAAAAACATTTCATGACCCACCAAACAAAAAACAAACAAACAAAAAAAAAAGAACTATAATGATAATAACAGTGCTTAGATTCAGTAGAATCATCACACTGTTTTCAATCTAGAAGACTATTAAGAAAATCATATATCAAACAAAAAGGGGGACCAAAACATTGGAAAATCTGTGATGGTATTATACCTTGGAAAAGGGCTATTTTTCACAGCTTTTTGGCCGTACTTCCTCCATCTATACCCATCATCCAAGTGATCAACCTCACTCTTTGTCATGAACGCAAATCTCGGCTCTCTTTGCCTTTTTGGGTTCTTCTTTTTGGGTTTTAACCTAAACCCACAAAGAAAAAAGAAAAAGAGAAAATCTTTACTTTTAGAAGAAAAGATCTAAATCATAAAATATCAATCAAATCCACCACATATTTAGATTTTCTGGAAAGGAAACAGACAACCCATAACCAATCTTCTTATCCCTTCAATGGGTTTTCTTAATTATCACTTTTTCTTTCTATGTTTCATCCAAAACTGGTCTGAACGCAGGAATTAGTGTATGAACACAGAAACCATCACACTACCAGACACAGAAATTGATAAATCTTTTCACAACTGAATCCACTAACAAATCTTGTAAAATTCTGTCAGTATATTTTGTATCTGATTCAGTGATAGATTTCTGTGTTCGCAGTAGAACTGGTGACATAAATGACAAATAAAAAAGCTTACTGTTTCTTCGACTTCTCTTGATCTTGGTCTTCTTGATCTTCCATTACTGTTGTTTTAGTCTGATCATCATTAGCTGCTTCGGTTGACGACGAAGAGATCGACGAAGAATTAGGTGTCGCCGGAGTATTCACCACCTCCGACGACTCGGGAAGTGTCGGTGATAGGAGCGGTTGAGGCGGCATCGCCGGAGTTTGGAACAGATCGAATAAAGATGATGAACCATAATCTTGGATACCTAACATGTCCATGAAGCCTAGAGAGCCTTTTTCTACCTCACATGGCATGTCGAAGATGCCCGATAAAGGGAAGCTCGTCTGAATCTGATCAGAAAATGTCGAATTCGCCATCGGATTTTCGGTTTTTGGCTCCTGTTTCTTCTTCTCCATGGATTGATCAGGAGCACAGATTCTTCTTCATTTCAAGCCTGTTTCAAGTGCAGTTTTGTTACGCAAGAGTGTAGAGAGAGAGGGAGAGAGAGAGAAGAGAGAGTGTGACTGTTTGGTTTTTGGGGTTTTTAAGTGTGAAGAGAGAGACTTTGAAGGGGTACTTGTTGTTTTCAGTGGCGTTTTTTTGGAGAACAGGTTGGCTTAAGGAAGTTATCCACCTTGAGGTGACCGGCAACTGCCGGTGGACACCGTATTCGGACCAGTGTCTATTTGGAGAAGTTATCTGGTAGATTCAGCCTTCCATGTGGTGGTGGATCAGAATTCCCTGTAATGGTTATATTTTGGTAATTTAACGTCTATACTTAAATAAAATTAATAATAATGTTTAGTAACTTGAGTTTTCATGACTTGAATACCACACAAATTCGAGTTATTAAGCATTTTTCTAAAATTAATTATCACATTTCAAGGTGTATGATTTGAATGTCATTTTATTTTAACTTTAAATTCGAATAGTTTGATTATGTACTTTTGCTAACGTATTTTGTTGTCAAAAAAAGAACAACACAACCAGAAAAATTAGAAATTTTATAAAAATACGATGATGCATGATCGTTTTGTCCAATCAACTGGATAGTCCAATTAGACTCATTACAGTAAGCTTCGTATCGGTAATCAAATTCGTTCAATTTGCAAATTTTTATGTGGATCGTTAATGAAAAATCATATTAATCTAACAGATTTATCTACATTTAATTTCAAAAACGATAAATATGATTTAAAAAATAAATCATTCATTTAAAATCAAAATTTAAAGTTAGATATAACAAAATAATATAATTAAAATTAATAAATCAATTTAAAATTTTTATATGAATAGTTTTTAAAATAATAATAATAAAAAATTAAATCATTAAAATAAAACTCAGAGATATAATATCCCAACCTACTACAAAATAATATGTCAGCTGTGGAATGGGACCGTTGTGAAAAAAAAGACCGCCGAGTGGTCCGGCGAAATAGTCGACGCTTTTAATAACGCGGCATGTTGACTGGTAACCGGTTACGTGTGAACGGGTTTCCGGTTACACGTGGGGATGTAAAAAAACAGTTTGGCTCGTGTGTGTGTGCATGTTAATGTGAAAATTCACTTTTTCTTTTTTATTTTCTTTTCTCTAGTTTTCCTTCCGAACTTTAACGGAAAATTCTTTCTTGGATTACAAGAATGTCCCTCTTCCCCTTTTGTGTTCCCTCTCTTTTTCATGAGATATGTGAACACTCAATTGATGTATTGAAATTCAAATTTTAATTGATCATAATAAAAAACTATCGTAGTGGATAGTAGTTAAATAATTGACAATTGAAATGGTTAAGAATCTGAGTGTAGGGTTGAGAAATGAGGAACTAAACCAATTTCTTGAAACTAATTGAAAAGTGATATAAATTCATAATTTGATCTTTAAATGTATTTACAATGATGTGATAAAGGAAATAGGCTCTATATAATTGAATGTGTGACAAATTAAAATTAAATTTGTTATGTTACATTATTGTGAGTTAAATTGTTTTTTTTTTTTTTTTTTTTATCGGCAAATGTTAGTGATTAAACTTTTTCATTCTTGGCAAAACACCTAAATATTTGCACATTCTTAATTCAACCATTCTAAGGGGAATTGAACCCATGACCTCCTTAGGCTAAATCCTAAGGAATGGTGGCCAAGTAGGCTAGGCCTAGTTGGTTATTGTGAGTTAAATTGTGAAAAATTCTTTTGGGATTTCAAATATTTTTTCTAAGAGTAATTACAATAATATGGAAGTACAAGTTGGTTATTGTGAGTTAAATTGTGAAAAATTCTTTTGGGATTTCAAATATTTTTCTAAAAGTAATTACAATAATATGGAAGTACAAGTGGATTTGTGCTATGGAGCAAATGAAATTGAAGTCTGTCTTACATCAGAATACAAACTTTACTTGCATATTCATATTTTTGTAATTATTTTTATTTCTATCTACTTATTTGTAAAAATATGAAAGTGCAGGTGGATTTGTGCTTTAGTGCAAATGAAAACTATTATCTTACAACACAACTCTATTTATATCTCGATATTTTTATAGATTACTTTTACTTCTTTTCACTGATTTACAATTTTTCGTCATATATTAATAAATAAAATTTTGCCATCTCTTTTTTCCTCACTTTGACTAATAAATCTCACGGACTCTACTGAATTCTGATCATTTAATAATTTGATTGATTAGGGCAATCTTCACATTAACTATAGATTGTGTGATGGTTCTTTTAAGTTTGGTTTAGGAGTTAATCTTTATGAATGCTTGATTTGGACTTAAGTGAATCAAATTGAGCTTATATATAAATAAATGTACATCATGGGTTGAGTAATGATATTGTAATCAAGGAAGGAGGAGTTGTATTAAGTGCTCCATTCATAATTGATGCTTCATAAAGTCTGTGCCTTTATTTTCCCTTTACGTGTATATATTTCCATGGAGTGAGACTAGGTCCCTCACCTTATCTAAGGCTAGTTGCATGGTCCAAATCATGATAAATATTACTCATTATTGTGATGATAATTTGCTAACTAGCTAGAATAGAATGATGCAATGCTTTTCAATCACTAGGGGGGACAGACCCTACTTTGGTAAGATGCAAGAATCACTATTTTATTTAATTGTAAACATTAAATTACTCTATCAAGATCAGTTGATTATTTCTGTACAATTCTATCTGAGAGGCCAGAGAATTAATCCTAGTTAAAGATAATAATTAATAATTTCTCCCTTATTAAGTTATTATGGACTTTTTTAAAGATAATAATTATTAATTTCTCTCCTATATTATGGACTTCTTTTTTGTTGTTGTTGTTGTTGAGTTGGTTTTTGAACTTTGTTGTGTTGTTTATTCATTTCCATTATGGAGTCTCTTTGTTAGATTGGTTGTTGAGCTTTTATAATTGTTGGAATATAATTGTCTAGATGTAATTCTCTTAATTTGCAATCTAACAGAAAAAATATTGTAAGGATTGATAAAAAGTGACTTAGGAAAAGTCTACACTTATAAAACATTTATGCCCAAAAAAAAAAAAAAAAAATTCAAAATCCAAAATAATATGTTGATAATATTTTTAAAATTGAGGGTCATTTTTTTATTCGAAAGAGTCATTGATATGAGTGTTTTGTTTAAAATATATGATTCTAATTCAGCCACATCATTTTATTTATAATAATAAAAAATCGTATAAATTTTCTGTTAGTAGTGAGGGTGGGATGCTTCTTGAACGCCTCAGGTTTGGGAATCAACCATTTTAGTTAAAAAAATCATTATAAATTGTCAAATTATTTTCTATTTTTTTTTATATATCTTTTGTAAAAATTCAAAAAATCATTAAGAAAGTTAATTCCTATACAAGCTCTGAATTAGATTGATTTGGATGGCAATCTACGAATCACAAATTTACAGAGATTTAAAAAAAAAGGCAGATTTGTTTAAAGGTGACTTCAATAGTTTAAGAAATTTCATTATGTCTGTTGGTTATGTTGATTAGGGCTCTACAATATTTATAAGGCCATTACGATAATTTCTTACTGTTGGCTTTTTGACTTTCGAAGGTTATTATTGTAATTATGAGCGTGCCGGCAAGGATCAATCAGTTCTTACAAAAATTCAATTGCCAACCAATTATCAGACAATTGTGTTTTAGTTCTTTCAGTCTCAATGAAGAAGACTTTTACTGGTGGCCTTGTTAGGAGAATTAAACGAACAATGGGTAAATAAAGAACAGTTGAAGTATTTTATTAAGCAAAATGAAAGACTTACAAAGATCTGAATTAGCCTCGTAGAGGTTTACAGCAACAATCTACTTGCAATCTACTCCTATGAACGAAATGCAGTGCAGAAACGAAAAGAACAGGAAATGTAAAAATTGGAAATGTAAAACTGGAAAGGAAATAAAGTAGAATAAGACTGATTTTTTGGATCTGAGTCTGGGCCTTTTTTCTGAGGCCTTCTCTGCTATTTATATTTCTCAAGGATGACCATCGAACTGCATTCCCAACCGTCGAACTGCTCCTCCACGATCGCTGATCATGTTGCCTTGTAATTAGCTCCACTATGCCATCACTTGCAGTTAGGCTTCCCTCCTAATTTTGAATTTGAATGTGAGTAACCGTTGAAACCACATCACTTTGCATCTCTTTGCTAATCTAATGCTACTCAGATCTCGTAATAACTGATACTAACTGCCACGTGTACGATCATGATCGAAGACTTGAATAGTCTTCTTGTATTACCCTTATCCTGCCTCACGTCGAATTGCAATTGGCTTATACAAAATATGTAGCCAACATTATCCCCCACACTAATATATCCTATACTTGGTGATAGTAGCGGATCAAGGTCTTTTATCCACGTCTTAGAACGTGCATGGGCTTTTCATTCTTCCAGAAATGCAACCGTCATTCATCATTTGCATTAAACTCTCTTTCAATCTTTTGAACACCCCCACCACCTTAGGATTCAAACAGACTGATACATTTTATGGTCAAATCAATTTTCTCCTCTAATGATCGAGCACACGAAGAGTCATTTGATGATGCTGTTCCTCCTCGAAAGAACCTCCATGCATTAATTAGCCACCTTTACCCACCTTCCTATATTCAAGTCATGGAAGCCTTTGCAAATTATCAACCCTTAGACTACGAATACAGTGCCCTTAATCCTTTGATTTAGAAAGTTACAAATAAAGACATGGGAAGTTCTTCTTTTGATTCACCCTTGGACTACGAGCAAACTGCCCTCAATCCTTTGATTCAGAAGGTTGCAAATATGAACATGGGAAGTTCTTCTTCACAGCCCTCTGCATGGGATGAGGCTGTGGCTTCTTCTTCCTCTGGGGCTTCCAACTGGGCAAGCTGGTCGGAACTTGAGGCCTATGATTTAAGGGAGCGAATTAACCATCACTTTGTCGAGTTCACTGACCCTTTAGAGTTTCCTTCCTATGCGCGAAGCTCGGTAGTTTATCCTTACGTGCCCATCGACCGCCGACGCAGTTTAGAGGACAATTCACTTGTAGTGTGGTACACATCCTCCATGCCTACAAAGATAGTGCACGCTACTCGATGCCGAGAAGAGGCACAGGGGTACAACCCATCGTTCTTAGCTCAGAAGG